AATTTCTCCTAGTTCTTCTAGTTCAATTCCTTCCAGTCTCTTCTAACATTCAGCTCTTTTTTTCTAGTTTTAAAAGTAGGTTCTTAATGTGGCTCCGCCACTCGATATAGAGGTCTTATAAGTGGAATTTTGATGAATATGTGCCAAGGTATAAAGCTCATCTTATCGTAAAAAACTATAATGGGGAGTAAGACCTTGATTATTTAGGAACCTAATCTTATTCTAAAAAACTATGATCAGGAGTATGACCTTGATTATTTAGGAACATTCACTTCAATTGTCAAACACCAAACCATTTGTATTGTGTTGACTTTAGCCTACATTATAATTATTGGTCGTTTTATTTGCTTGATTTTTTTAATATTTTTTTTAGATGGTGAGCTACTTAATCTATATATCACATCACATCTATTCACTATTAAATATATTCATCAAATCCTACCTTTTTTTTCATCACAACAACAAAGTTATTTTTGAAAACTTAAAATAGAAAATACTTCCCTAAAATTCTTTAAAAATCAAAATATGCCATATTTTCAGGGACGGGCGGAGTGTGACGAAGGAAAATCACAAGAACTCCAGGGGGTAGCTGAGTTGGTTGAGCAAGGGGTTCCAATGATGACGCAAATTTGATTCTTGACAACTACGTTCGGAGCTAGCTAGATAATGGTATTAAACATACAATCTCTTCAAGTATGACATGCTGGCTCTACCAATGTCAATCAGTCTGTGATTAAATCTCAAATTATCTCGTCTAAAGTGATCACTATCTCATCGGTTCTAAACAACTAACCCCGGAGATGAGACTCATCGACCTTTTTCTTTTGTTGTAGGGATGAGGATGGAGTAGTATATATTCATCCTTGAATATTTTTCCCATATTAAAACTTGGAAAAATATTTCTTGACGAAGACTACCATGGGGCCGGAACAAACACTTTGAGCCACATTTTAACGGGGAGGGCCGGCCGGGCTGGCATGGCTAGCTATAGCTTAGCGTAGAAAATGAATTTTGCAGGCAATGCCAAAAGTAACACAAAACACAGGAAAGGTCAGACCACAAGAATCATCCACTTTTAACAATCTACTCTACTACTCTACCTAATATACCCTTAGCTTTTGCTTTGCTTGCTAGTTTCAGGCCTTAAATTGTTCTTCAATTGCTTCATCTAAATACAGCATGGCTATGCATATATATTTATATAGGCCTTCCCATTTAGTAAAGCTATATATATACTCCCTCCGTCCCTGAAACATGGAAGTTTTGCTTTTTATGAGGGATTTAAGGGGAGTGTATTTTGGTATTGAATTTTCAAAAATGTCCTTTGATGTGATGGGTAAAAGTATGATTTGATGGATAGATTGTTAGTAAAAAGGTATGATGTGATAGTTAGGGTATGAAAAAGTAAGGGGTAAAAGTTACTTTTTAATAGAAATGAGAAGTGTTTTGTGAGACGGATAAAAAAAGAAAGGAGAAAGGTTTTATGGGACGGAGTGAGTATATATATATATACCTCAAATAGAGAGTACTTTTGTCACACCCAAACACACACACACACAAAACGACAAGCTAAATAGCTAGCACTATAGTAGTCGTTGTACTTTTCCATTCTTTATTTTAACTTTGACCCTGTTTGGGAATAGCGTTAGAGATTAGAGTTAGCGTTTTGGATAAAATTTTGACGGTGCAGATTACTTTGAAAACGCTAACGCTAAACGCTGCCCGTAGATAGCCTTTTCAAAACGTTGACTCTAATAGCTAAAGCTATTCCCAAACAGGCTCTTTATCTTAAATTCTTAAGAAAATATATGCACTAAATAGTACTAAAATTAAGTCATTTTTCTAAATAACACTTAAACTTTTTTATCCTTTAAATATTAGTTAATAATATCTAGAAAGAAGAATAATGTCCATTGATGACGAATATTTACTTGAATAATGACTAATGGATAATGGCTAAAATTGCTATATTGAGAAAAAAACACATATAATACTATCAAGGAAAGTCATTATATTTTAGTACTATTTAGGTAAATTTCACAATTTTGAAAAATGCCCGTTTTTCGCAAATAAATGAAAGGTGGGATTATTTTAGGTAAAATCTCCCTTTTCATTTTTTAATTTCTTTAAATGTATTTTTATTTTATTTTTTTGGAAAAAATACCAAATATAAGTGTTTTTAGAGTGAAACTATTTGTTTTTTTCAATAACCAATAATATGGTAATAATTAGAAAATAAATTATTCTACACAATAGAGCTAATTTATTAACTTCATAACTAACTACTGCCTCCGTTTGGAAAAAGTGTTCTTCTTTTGACTTTGTGTAAAAATAAGGAAGTATTAAATTGTAGTTGACTTCCAATTTTGCCCTTGATGTGATAAGTAAAAGTAAGATGTGATGGATAGATTATTAGAGATAAAGTATGATGTGATAGGTAGGGTATGAAAAAATAAGGGTAAAAGTGGTTTTTTAATAGAAGTGGAAGTGTTTTGTTGGAAGGGAAAAAAAACAAAAGAGGAAGTGTTTTTGATAACGGAGGGAGTACATTTTTTTGTAAGTTGCATTTACTGTATTTTTCTTGAGCTGCACTTCAAATTATTTTTTGATACTACATTATTATTATTTCTTAAAAAAATGGCACTGCAAACTTATGAATATTTTTCTATAGTTCTATATAAATATTTTTTGTGAAACAACATTACAATAGTTGTGAAAATAACACAACAATTTTTTTCTCTAAAATAGAACTTTTATTTTTATAACTCACTACATTTTCTGATGTATTGCAATTTTTCCATGAACACTCTGAAATATTTTTTGATAATCTTATATTGCAATAAAATTTTCTTTCTAAAATGGAACTACCCAATTTGTGATTTCTTAATAATTCAATACAAATTTTCCCCAAAATAGTAATTCAAAAGTTGTGAAAATGACACAATATTTTTTTCTCCAAAACGGAACCCATAAATTTTATAAATCACTACAATTTTTTTATTGTAATTTCTTTCTTGATCGATACTCTGAATTATTTTTGATAATTCAATACTATTTTTTCCCAAAACAATTAACAAAATTTGTTAATCGTTAGACAAATCTCTAACAAGAGTGTATTGTTATATTTTTAAAAATATTAATTTTAAATTCAAAACTAAAAAAGTAAAAAGTAAATTTTTCTAAAATAATCTCACCTTTCATTTATTTGCAAAAAACATGCATTTTCAAAAACTTCCGTTAAGTGGCCGTTAGTTTTTTAACGGTGACCCAAAACTCGCACACATGCGAAAAGGTAGGATTTTTTCCGATGACAGTGAAAAGTGGGATTATTTTTGAAAGAGCGCGAAAAGGTGAGATTATTTGAGATAATTTTTCCTTAAATAAATTAGAATATTGCACCGATGTTTGACTCATGACATCCTGACCGAAAAATAATTAATTATAATATGCATGAGGTTCTTATATTTAATTGGGAAAGACTGCATTCTTTATCAATAAGATTAATAAAATCATATTAACTTATTTTATTTTCTTCCAACTTTTTATTGGGACTTACTATTGAGACTGGTACTAGTTAAGGGGGAACTAAATTGGGGATATGATTCAAGTGCAATATATGTTGGATTCACCCAATAATGTAGCCTATATAGCTTAGTTGTTTTGGAAGTGATAGATGGATAGATGTTTATTTATCAAGTGATTAAATATATATGATTATATATGGCCAGAAATTAAGTCGATGGCTGGCCGGGTTTAATTTGTTTTTCCTTAATCATATCATTCTCTCCTTGACCACGGAACCCTACTTACAAAAGCAATCTTAGCTGATCACCTACTATACCTACCTACTTTGCTTTCGGGAATAACGATAACCTAGTAGAATATATATATATATATATATATATATATATATATATATATATATATATATATATATATATATATATATATATATATATATATATATATATATATATATATATATATGCATTCTCTTTTCTTCTCTCTAACCCATTTTTATGTTTTAACCTTTTTAGGCCCGTTCTGAAATATTTGTCTACTTTCGATTTTCCGATCAAAATTAGTAAATTTTGATTCCAAAATAAATAAAAGTGATAACTTGTATTTGATACCGATATAAATATAGATTTATTTGATTTATTATATCACTTTTTAAAAAATAATATTTTATCTAATTAAATTTTAAAATTTTAAAAATGGTTAACTGAAAAAAGTAAAAACTGAATAAATATTTCGAAACAAAGGTAGTAATACAAAAACATTTCATACACCCTACGCTATTAGCTAGGTTGAACGGTATGGTACCTTAATGATGCGTTGTGATGACGACCACGTGCACTACAAAGAAAACGCGGAATTGGCACGGCTTTTTGGCACGGACTGTAGTTTAAGTTTTCCGTGACTAAGGTATTAGACACGGATTTTGGCACGGACACGAAACGCTGCCAATTTCGAAGCTCCAAACTGTATGGCACGAAAATCCAGTCCGTGCCAAATATAGAGACGGCATCACTCGTGACAAAATCGTTCCAAATTGACGGTTGTAAGAAAAACGTTAAAGATATTAGGCACGGATATGTCCGTGTCAAAATTGTGTTCTTACAAATATAACATAAGTCACGGATATATCCGTGCCTTTATTTTGAAAATTTTCAAAATATTCAGAAATTTTCAAAAAAACTTCAAATACGCGGGGAGATTAAATTTCGAAATTCAAATATTTTGCCACGGACATATCCGTGCCATGGATTTTAAAAAATAAAAAGTATTTTTTGCCACGGGTTTATCCGTGCCTTAGATTTCGAAAAATTAAAAAAAACAATTTTGAAAATAAAAATTAATAATACATAACATGACATAATTCAAATACAGAATAAATCACTCATAGCATAATAATGTAGATTAATAAAAGTAATATCTATAATGAAAGTAATGTCTAGCATCCAAATGAAGATCATCACAGACAAATGTTAATGATGAATAATTACAGATTTTCATTGTTTAGAAAACTGTTAACACCATAGTTATTTGAATTGTGTCCTTCCGGTTGAACGTTTGGCATTTGGGGGAGGACCGTAGGTTGTTGAAAAACAGGCATGGGAGAAGGCAAAACCCGCGGGAATTAAAGATGCTACTCATGACTTTGTCTGTGTCCGCCGGTAAAACCCGAGCAACCATGTGTAACGAAGCTATAAATGTAATAAACAATAAATTAGTATTGAAATAAATTAGTATTGTGTTTAGGACAACTTGTTGGCTGGAAAAAAATTAAAAAAAATTAAAAAATCATACAAATAATATATGAGATAATGAAAAACAAAAAAAATTACCCCTTCAATTCGGCTTTAGTGATCAAGCGCGGAAGATCCTCCTTTGCCGCCTCCTCCGCCCTCGACCTCGACCTCAGCCTCCAAGTCGCCACCGGCATTGAATATGGACTGCGGGGTAGTGGTAGATGGCGATTTCGGTGGTGCTCGAGAGTGAGAACGCTGAAAGCTTCCCCTACCGTGAATGCTACCGCGGAAGGAAGTGCTCCTTGCTGAAGACATTGAAAGGAGAAGAGGTTATGCGGGAGGAGGGCGAAGGAGGGATGGCGGCGAAGAAAGAGATAAGAGGAGGAGAGTGGTTAATGAAAAATACGAGAAAAAACATGCAAGGGATGGTAATATAATTAAGAGGAATTTACTTAAATAGCACTAAAACATAATGATTTTCCCTAAATAGCACCACATGTATTTTTCTTCCCAATATAGCATTTTTAGTCATTATGCATTAGTCATTATTCAAGCAAATATTCATCATCACTGGTCATTGTGGACATTATTAAGTGCTATTAAGGGAATAAAATAATTTAAGTGTTATTTAGAGAAATGAATTTAGTTTTAGTGCTATTTAGTACAAATATTTCATATAATTAAACCGTAGGCACGGACGTACGCACGTCCCCAACCGTGCCTATACCGTGCAGTAAATATCGGATTCTTGGGTAATGGTGTAGGCACGGCCGTTGTCGTGCCAAATTTCAATATCTCTGCGTGTGTCAGGCTTTTTGTGTGAGATCCATTCTAGGCACGGCTTTTTCCGTGCCTACTAGAGGGCATTAAACACGACAATTTTTGGTAATTGCATAGGCACGGCCATGTCCGTTCCAAACAAAATGAACTCTTCGGAGTATTATAGATGCTTCCTATTTACAATTCCTCGAGTGGGAATAAAAAAATTTAGGAGATTATTAACAAGTTTCGGGAAAAGCCGGCCCGACACCCGTCATTGAGAACAATGTTGAGAGCCTTGAGTGTGTTCCGAAAATGCAATCTTCCCGAAAATTCAAAGGGAAGATCGTGCGCCATGAAGGCCGGGGTCGATGAGTCAGGAGACGAAGCAAGCGCCGACGCCGACAGAGGAGGAAGCGTTGGCCCGGGCGTGGCGGAACGTTTCTGAAGACCTGATCTAAATTTATTCCCCAAATAATTGTACTTACAAGTTTGTATCCTCTTTTGTAATTTTTTTTATTTCATGATTAGGGACTGCACAAAATGCGGAATGGCTGTTGGGGTAAGGCCACTACTCAATAATTCCACACCCATATGAATGGAGGAAGTAGTTTTTTCGCGTTAGCGCTTTCAGAGTTACTATACGCCGTTTAAATATTATCCAAAATACTAATACTAATTAATTGAAAACGTTCCTCCGAGTAAAAACAAACATTTTTCAATTCATTCCTCACGTTAAAAGTCAAATTTGGAATTAAGCCATGGGAGTAATAATACATTGACCAACGTCACATGTGCATCACTACAGTCTTTTACGGAGTATTTTATTATGGGGTCATCAAATAATTAAATTAAAGAAATGCTCCATAAGAAATTAACTAAAACAGCTAGCCATGCCCTATATTCTGCTGCTCCGATCAGCGGCGGCGCCTGGAGGCGGTCTCCCGTTGGGCGATGAAGAAGACGCAAGCGACCGGCGAACCCAACTCGTTCTCCTCCGCGAAACGCCGCGTGCTGAAGTGGTCCCACGAATCATTTGCGGGGGACGGTGGGGCGGCGGCGACTGACCGCCTTTGTTTTTGTTTGAACAGAACAAACACAAACCTGTGTATCCCTATTTTAGGCATTGGCATTTCGTAGCTAACCAATTCTCGCCCTGTCATTAACATTACCAACATATGGTTTTCTAGTAATAATTTAAAAACAATTCTTATTTTGACCAAGTGTAAAAATGAAATGTCAAATTGTAGTTGACTTCCAATTTTACCTTTGATGTAATTAGGTAAAAATAAGATGTGATGAATAGATTATTAGAGAAAAAGAAGAGAAAAAGGTAAGGGTAAATGTGATTTTTTAATAGAAAGTGGAAGTGTTTTGTTGGAAGTAGAAAAAATGAAAGAAGAAGTGTTTTTGAGAACGGAGGAAGTACCACACTCTATACAATGTGTGAAGTATTTGGTGAAAAGGATTATTTGTGAAATATTTATCAAAAATGAGTAATTTACCTAAATAGGACTAAAATATAATGAATTTCTCAATGTAGGATCATATGTTTTTATTTCTCAATGTAGGATCATCGGTCATTATATATTAGTCATTATTCAACTAAATGTCCAGCATCACTTGGACATTATTCTTCTCACTAGTCATTATTAAGTCTTATTTAGGTAATAAAAAAGTTTAAGTCATACATTAGGAAATGACTTACTCCCTCCGTTCCTAAATAAACTCCCTCTTTCGTTTTTTCTTTGTCCCCAAATAAACTTTTCTTTTCCCTTAAAAAACCTCTTTTATCTCTCTTTTTTCATACCCTACCTATCACATCATTCCTTTTTACTAATAATCTACATATCACATCTTACTTTTACACATCACATCAAGGGTATTTTTGGAAAGTTAACACAAAAATATCTCTCCCTTAAATCTTCAAAATGTCAAAAATGAAAGTTTATTTAAGGACGGAAGGAGCATGTTTTAGTCTTATTCAGTGCAAATTTCACATTATAAAAAGAAAGGAGTATATATATGAGCATATACATGTGATTCATTGCTTACCAAAAGTAGCATCTGTAGTCCCTGGGATATCCGTTACTAGCCTGAAATATACAAATTAATCTCTTTAAAAGCAAGATACAAATATGTTACCCAAAGTTCCAAAAATTAAATCATGCCTAGTTTATTGTGTGAGGAAAAAATAGGACTACAGACTACAAGTATACTCTCCAGGCCTAAAATAAAGTATACTTCCTACTCCCCAAAATGAACTAGACATTGCATTTTAAAACGTTTGACTGAAAAAATTTTCAAAGAGTTAATTTATTTTAATATTGGGATAAATTTCAAAATAATTCAACCCCTAAGTTATTTACGCAATTTGTCTCTCTCTTTTTTCTTTGATGTTAAAGATATAATTAAAAAGTCTAACTACAGTACAAAAATAAATCAATCAAAAGTTATGTCAAGAAACCAACTCAACCAAAAGCCCAAGCTTGTGGTTGTGGCCCAGAAACAGTTATTTATATTCTAACACGCCCCTCACGTGCAGGCGTAGTCTTTTTCGAGCCTTGCACGTGAAACCTTAATTTTTTTAAACTGGGTGGCGGTGAGTTTCGAACTCGTGACCTCTTGGTCATCAAGGCTCTGATACCATGTCAAGGAACCAACTCAACCAAAAGATCAAGCTTGTGCTTGTGGTCCAGGAACAATTATTTATATTCTAACAAGTTAAAATAAAAACTATTTTTGCAAACGGATTGAGTATATATTAAGAATACCATGTCAAAAATTTTACAAAATAAAATGTGATATGATTATATTATTTATCAATTGGGTAAAAAAATACTCCCTCCGTCCCTAAATATTCACAACATTTGCTTTTTCAGCGGTGTCGGGAACTTTTGTTTATTTCGACGTTTTCATTGATTATTTGATAAAATAAAATATTTTTGACACCTCTTATTTCGAAGAACTTTTCATGTAGTTTTTTTATATGTAAATTTTATTTTTTATTTCTTTACCAATATATAAATAAAATGAATTGAAAAAACTTGATATTTTACCTCGGGAATACAAATGTAGCAAATAATTTGGGACGGAAGAAGTAAGTAAAGAAATTTAACTGTACAAATAGGAGGTAACTTAAAGATCTTTTCGGGCAAAGGGGGTGTTAGAGTATCGACAAAAAAAATAAATACTCAAAATCTTGTGTTTTTACTACGTAATTAGTTTAATTTTTGTGTAACTACGTACCGAGTATTATTTTACTTGTAACAAAACACTCCCACTTTCTATTAAAAAACCACTTTTATCCTTACTTTTTCATACCCTACATATTACATCATACTGTTTCTCTAGACTCTAATACTTAATTAGAAATCATCTTAAATAGGACTAAAACATAGAGAAAAGTACCAAAATATGACTTTCATGTTTTTTTCCCGGAATAGGACTTTGCACTGTGGTAATGTGACTTTGCATTGTGGTAATGTGGCAGTGTACATGTGCAAATTACTACACTTTTTTGATAATGTATATGACCATGTTTGGTAATGTAAGTCTTTTTTTGAGAATAAAAACATGAAAGTCCTATTTTGGTATATCTTCAATGTTTTAGTACTAGTTTGGTCTTTCTCACATACTAAATTCATCATATCTTACTTTTATCCATCACATCAAGGATAAAATTGGAAGTCAACTACAATTTAATACTTCCTTATTTTTATACAAAGTCAAAATAGGAACACTTTTATAGAAAGGAGGGAGTACACATTTTCTTGGAGTACTTGGAATATTTTGTCTTAAATTTCCTTGCCTTACACGTGCTCTAATTCACTCTCTGTGTGAATATCACATGATGGACCCCTGTCAGAAACTTTGCATGTAGGCCATGTACGGAGTAGTTTTTCTTTTACTCATTTCGTCCGTGTCTTTATTTGAAAAATATAGTTTTGAAATATTAAAATTAAATTTTTGTAATATTTAATTACTTTTAATTATATTTAATTTATGGTAAAAGAGTGACACAGGTTCACAAAAACAGTCAAATTATGATAATTTTTTAGGAACATGGATTAATCGACCAAATCACCTACAATAGTGTCTAAAGTGTCATACCTTACCCTACTTTTGTTAAGACATTATATTCAGACCATACCATTCATTGGGACCTCCACATCAAACGTGTCCAAAATCGACCAAATCACCCAAATAGTTTTAAATATATCTAAAGAGTCATACCTTGTCCGGAGCGTCAATTCACTAAAGTTTAGACCATATGTGCTTAACGTACTTTTGTTAGCTTATTGTATTGAGTAGGTACAAGCATTTTGCACATGTTTCTTAACTAGGAGTAAAAAAATATTTCTGTCTTAATTTTTTTTCATATTTGAAAAAAGGTAATTTATATATATATATATATATGTGTGTGTGTGTATAATGTTATTTTATTCTTTTTCATTATTTCGAACTCATCCGTCTACTTGAACTTTTTCTCTTTCATTTTCTTTGTTTTTACCAAAACATTTTTTTCATTATTAAAATGACTAATATATACTTCATCGTTTTTACATTGATATGATACGGAGTAAATTATTTAAGTGCCGTATGTCTCTTTTCCTTTCTACGCTAATGATTTGATTAGAAAGTCAAATTACAATAATAAATCATGCAAAATTCAAAACATAAACTCTTTTGGTTAGTGCAAGGAGGAATACGGTAGGATATGATATACTCCCTCCGTCCCGGAAAATATGGGAGTTTTGGTTTTGGAGAGGGATTTAAGGGGAGTGTATTTTGGTATTGAATTTCCAAAAATGTCTTTTGATGTGATGGGTAAAAGTATGATTTGATGGATAGATTATTAGTAAAAAGGTATGATGTGATAGGTATGGTATGAAAAAGTAAGAGGTAAAAGTGACTTTTTAATAAAAATGAGAAGTGTTTTTTGGGACGGATGAAAAAAGAAAGGAGAAAGGTTTTCTGGGACGGAGGGAGTATAAGATAGGAAATTAGAAATTAGAAAATAATTAAAATTGCATAGTTTTAAGGCACATTATATTTCATACGGGAAATGTTTTTAGGATTGAGAGTAAATACAATTATAAGAGAAGAAATCACTTCAAATAGGAGGTAAATATATTGTACTCCGTATGGCCTAAAAATAAGAGTTTTATGTTTTTATACACACAATATACACGTGATATTATGACACTATATATATAATGTCATCTCATTTTACTTTTTTGTACTATATATTAGAATTATTGGTATTATATTTATATTTTGGAAATAAAAAATATGGAGCTCATATTTTAATATTTTCTACATGTTTTAATCTTAGTATACTGTTTACTCATTTTCCCTTATAAGAGTTACATAAGTTTAATTCTCTGAATAAGAGTTTGATTACTGATGATATATAGTACGTCATCCATCCTGGAAAATCTATCTTTTTTCTTTTTTTCATCGTCCCAAAAAAATTCACATTTCAATTGAAAAGTTACTTAATACCCTATTATTTCTTAACCCACATATCACATCACATCTATTTACACTATTAATCTATCTATCAAATCATACGTTTATCCATAATATCCAAGGATATTTTTTAAAACTTGAGACCAAATACATTCTCTTTAAATCTTTTAAAAATAAAAACATCCCATATTTTCAGGAACATAGGGAGTATAATACTTCGTAGTAGTATAAAAGGACAGTGTGCTTGCAGTGCGTTGGTACGTGGAAAATTGGTGAACAGACGTCAACGGTGGTCAATACCAGTGACCCACATTGATGCTCTGGCTATTTGAATTTTAAAAGACCAGCACTCTTATTTTGGTATTTTCGTATTCATTTACTCTATTTAGAAGGTTCTATTATTAATTTCTTACTCTGTATTTTCTAGGGCTGGTTAAATTTATAGCAATACAAAGTTTGATATTAAAATTTAACCCCATGTTTTTTTACAAATATAAAAAAAATACAAAGGGCCTGTTTGGAAGCATTAGAGATTAGTGTTAGCATTTTGGATAAAATTTTAATGGTGCAGATTATTTTGACAATGTTAACGCTGAACGTTGTCCGTAGATAACATATTCAAAACGCAATGCTAATCTCTAGCACTATTTCCCAATCAGTCCCAAAGAAGATTATTTGTATGCGAAACATATTTCCCCCGTCCCAAATTATTTGTCACATTTGCTTTTTCAACAGTCGCGTGAATTTTTGTTTATTTTTACATTTTCATTGGCTATTTGATAAAATAAAATATTCTTGACACATCTTATTTCGAAGAATTTTTCAAGTAGTTTTTTGATATGTAATTTTTATTTTTTATTTCTTTACCAATATGTAAATAAAATAATTTGAAAAAACTTGATATTTTGCCTCGGTAATAGATATGTGACAAATAATTTGGGACGGAGGGAGTATGATATTATATTTTATCTTGAAGTAATTTCAAAATTGATATGACTATGAATTGTCTTTTTTCATACTCCATAATCTAATCGGATTTCGGACTTTAAAAGGTAAACTGTAAATATGAATAGATTGTCAAAGAAATGAAACTTTAAGGCGTATACCAGTGGAGGTGCTCTCTCATGTAAGGGTCACTAGGGTTAGGAACATCTGGGTCAGTCATCACCTGCAATAATAATAATAATAATAATAATAATAATAATAATAATAATAATAATAATAATAATAATAATAATAATAATAATAATAATAATAATAATAATACTAATAATAAATAATTTTGATATTAATGACTCCATTTCTAGTTTTACACTCCTTCAATTCCATTCCTAAATGTTTACCACATTTCAAAAAACAAGTCAAAATATCAAGTTTTTTCAATTTATTTTATTTAAATGTTGGTATACGAATGAAAAAATTAAATTTAATTTACATATTTAAAAATGGCGGGGAAGAAGATTTACATATACTCCTTCCACGTTTTGATTTTTGGGAGGAGATATGTAGAAATTTGACCAGGTGAACCAACGACAAGTAAAAACAAGTAGGGTTCTGAAAATGTCAAGATGGGGGCCTAGAAGGTCTTTAGAATAAGTTATTTACTCCCTCCGTTTGCAAAAAGACTTCCCATTTTGATTTTGAGCAAAAATAAGGAAGTGTTAAATTATACTCCCTCCGTCCCAAAAAGATTTTCCTGTTTCATTTTTTGCACATCCTATAAAACATTTCTATACACATCTAAAATGCCTAAAATTTACCACATTTCTCATTTATTGTAAGTAGAAGTTGTTTTGAAAGTTTTTTTTGCATTTGAGGCGGGATAGAAATGTTTTATGAGACGCGCAAAAAATGAAACAAGAAGATCTTTTTGGGACGGAGGGAGTAGTTGATTTCCAATTTTGCCCCTGATGTGATGTGTAAAAATAAGATGTGATGAATATATTAGTTGAGAAAAAGTATGATGTGATAGGTAGGGTATGAAAAAGTAAAGATAAAAGTGGTTTTTTAATAGAAAGTGGAAGTGTTTTTGTTGGAAGTGGAAAAAATGAAAGAGGAAGTGTTTGTGAAAACGGAGGGAGTATATTCTAATAAAAATGATTGAGAAGTAAGAAAAAACAAGAGTATATATCATTGAGAGAGAGAGAGAGAGGAGTAAAGAAATAATGAAAGAAGCTACCAGAGTAAAGAAAGATCTGAGATCGGCTCCCCTAATGGAAACCCTGGGTCTGGAAGTGAGAGCAGAGGGCAGAAGCTCTTGGCCATTGAAGAGTCTGCAGCTATTATTAGCTGCCGCTGCAGGGCCGCCGCCGGCGGAGGAGGGGAGGAAGTTATTACTATTATTGAAGTAGTAGGTGACTTCCATTCTAAGGGTTGGGTCATGGGTGAAGCTGTCAACCACATCCCCTATAACCCTGCCCATTCTCAGTGCCTCCATCGACATTCTCCTTTTTTCTTTATTAGTAATCACTCTATTATTCCTAAGATCAAATTATGGGAGCTGAGATCTATATATATATATATATATATATATATATATATATATATATATATATATATATATATATATATATATATATATATATATATATAGAT